CTTTGCTTTAAATCCACCCTCTAATTTATTTTTCAGTAAGGTCCCCATGGAGAAAAACCCATGGTATTTGATTACAATAGACTGAATTCCAGACCCAGATGCCAGCAGAGGGCTTCCACTGAAGTTAGTAGAAGCTTTGGTTGAAGTTAGTGCATCACTTGACAATACAGCCCTTTTAAATACTGGTTGGGATGATCTTGTTTCCTACTATTAGGCTAAGGACACAAGTTACACATAAACTAGTTTAAGGCGCTCCTGCCTGCCCCCTCTGCCCGTCGCCTAAGTGACGAGCACGGCCTGTCTGGGGGGGCACCGGCACTCTCAGGGGGTGCACATGCACCCCCGACATGTTGCCACTGGTCTGTACTTAGCCTTAATGATCAGCAAAAGGGCTACTGAACCATTATTTTTCCCTCCACTATTATTTTTCTAACAAAAATGCAGAAAAAATAGAGAATGAAACAAAGCTATGTACTTATTTCCTTTCCTGGGTGCCTTTAGGCACAACTGAAGCAACCTAATGTATAAATAACCATGAGTTAGTTTCTGAACAAAGTTTCTTCATTCTTCAAAATAGGAACCTGGAAATCTGGTAGGGGCAGACTTAGTTAAAAGACTGCTGTGAAAAGTGCTGGTATTTGATAGAAGCTTTTTCATGATGTTTCTGCTTCTGTTCCCACCTATAGCTCAGGATAAAGGTGTGTCAGAATAACTCCAATGGCTGGCTGGGATCCATTTCCAGCAGTGGAACTCAACCAGTGTTGTGACAGTGTATCTTGGGTATCATTTCCATACAAGAGTGCTGCTGTTCATCTCCTTCAGCCATTAGCAGATGCTGAGGTTTTCTTGACTCTGTCTGAAAAGTGGGAGCCCTGCTACGGAGCTAAGTCAGTTCTATAGGTGGGAGGGAATGTTCCTTGCTAATGGCAACATGGAGTTCCTTGAGGATATTTTCCATCTAAATGCCATAGTGAAGCAATATATCATTTGGCCACATGCAGCAAGTAGGCCATCGCAAAGACCGTGCACCTGGGAGATGAGACGAATCAAAATTGGCAGGTCTAATTCTGCAAGCAGAACTCCCCTATGCTGAGTTCTCATTGGCTCCACTGCGCATCCCTAATGCACATAATGCATATGTAGGACACCTCCTGTAGAATCACATAACAAAAATGGCACCAGAAAAGCAAATGCTAATAATACACACATGCGCATATAAAAGTATATACTTCTATACATAATTCTGAAATAGTTCAAACCTAGGACTATGAAGGTACTTAATTATCAAGCTGCTTAAATGGCCTGGCATTTGAAAGGGTTAATTTTGTTTCTGCGTATCAAATCTGCCTGGCTGACTGCTCAGCCTCTGCCAGCGTAGGCATTATGTGATACTCTGCTTGTCCCTCAAGCTGCTGTTCAAGACAGGCTGAGTTAAGAAATGGTTAGAGCTCAAATAAATATTAGCAGAGCAGTCTGGACCACGAGCGTCTCTCTTCTTCACCCGCCTACATACATGCTGCTGCATCTGCTTCAGCACAGAGTAGCACCACCAGAAAGGCGGGTCAGCTTCCTCCCCACCCCCTTGTTTAACGAGACCTTGCGCTTTTGATGAGTGACCCTTCCTTGGATGCAGGCTGTTTGCAGGCTGAAGCCTGATGTCATGTTAACAACAAAGCAGTTAGACAACAATGCATACAGATTTTACTTTAAAATTAACATAACATAGTTAGGGGAGATTTTTAACTGCTGCTGCTTGTACATCAGGAAGAGAAAAGGAAAATCAAGTAACAGCCTAATTGGCTTTTACGGAAGTCTATGGGGAGGCATGCTGACCTGTTCTTAGCCTAGATGCCTTGTCTGCTCTGTATTGTCACTGTGGGAAGTGGTAACAGAAGCACACTGGGACAATGATTTTATATTTTAGCACTACAGATCTAAAAAATAAAATGCCTCCAACAGGGTGATTTTGTTTCCAAGCTGAGGAAAGCTTGTCGCTATTGGCTCTATGGAGCCGTGGACCAAGCCTTTATTGAAAAGAATCTGGGCAAAGGAAGAAGATCAAGGATCTTATTTCCCCAGCCTTCCTTTGCCTGCACTGTGTTTGATCACTTCCACATGCCCTGTGCAAGGGCAAAGGAGGGGTAATCAGCTGCCATTTTGATTTGGTAGCATTTCACTCTGCTCAGAGGTGAATAACCAGGCACAGAACATGGCAATAGAAAACTGGGCCAAAAGTATAAGAATGAGTGGTGAATCTGAATTGTGCTTAGCTGTCCCTACTAGTGTGTGCACCAGGAATGGTTAGGCAGCAGAACATAAAATACAAATAAATGTTATTTCTCTTGCCCCTCCCCCATACAGTGTTAGCTGCCTGCTTTTCACATCCTGGACTGGAGTCCCCCTCCAGTGTGCTTTAATGCAAGCAGCAAAGTGATTGATCCAGCCTATCTAATTTCTCTCTGCCTGCAAATTGCTGTGCCTCTGAATAGCTAAAATGTACCAGTGGCAGAGAGGATATTGGCAGTTCATTTTTTATTGAATTTGTATTTTAGAACAACACCAGTTCAATCAATGTCAATTACATTAACATGTACATGTTGCAGGACTAATCACCTTCTTTATCCTCCCTCATTTCCAGAATACTTAAGGGAGAACTCCACTGATTAGTTAGTCTGCCTTAGGGACAAATGCAGCCCCAGGTCTAGGCCAGCAATGGAATTAGAATTCTTCATTTCTCTGATAGGGACGGCGTTGATAGACCACATGCAGACCGAGGCTGCGCTGTAGTCTCTACTACAGACTGTGTCATTTCTAAACCTCTCACTGGCATAGGGCAGACTCTTACCTGATCATAGCCCACTTCCAGGTTGCAGCTAAGGGCCTTGTTACATATTAATTTTAGGCAGCTCCTGGAGTTCTTAACCCCTGGATTGTCTGGTGAAACTAGCTTTAAGCACACTGTAGGCAGCTTAAAGTTAACCTCTACAGGGCAGGTTTCTTTCTCACCCCTGTTACCCAGCTCATGCTCCATTACTGCATGGCCACTCCCCATAGATGTGCCACCCAAGTTGCAGTCCTTAAGCATCCCAGGATGCAGTATCTTCTCCCTGACCCTTCTGTTCTGTGCAGGCAAACTTTTAGTTTCTACCTCCTAAACTCTACTGCTGAGGGGGCAGTTCTGACACCAAGCCAACTCCCACCCCCAGGGGTGCAACCCTACGGAAACAGCTTGCAAAGCATATGTTAGCTAGCCAGGTCGCAGGGCACGGATGTGTCCAAGAGGGATGAGTGGACAACAAGGTAGGGGGCTGGATTGAATGCTTGAAAGCTGGGGCTTCCTTCCTGGGACAGGGGCAGTAGCTCCCCCAAAAGTGCCTTCCCTCATCCCTCCCACCTCACAACCACCCCAGGAAGCATGACTATCACCCCCACCCACAACCCAATCCCAATTTCTTAAAACATGAGACCTTTTTTAATTTCTTCCTCTTTATTTTTAAATTCCTTTTTTACTTTTTATTTTATCCTACAGTGAAAGGCTTCTTTCATTTCACCATCCCCCATTTCCTTGCCACCTCCCATTTCATTACCCACCACCATCTCTTTAACTCTCTGCCTCCCAGCTTCATGTCCCCCCACCCCTTCCAGAACAGAAGTAGAAGCCTGTCCTGGCTCACCAGCCCTGTAGTGGCAACTCACAGCTGTAGCTCCTAATTAGGCCCCTGCTTTCTAGTCCTTTGGTGCAGTGGTTTTCAAACTGTGGTCAGCAGATCCCTGGGGGGTCTGCAGATTATGTCTAAGGGTTCCATGAAATATGACTATGATTGATCAAAAGTATGTAAAGACCCACACTTACCGTTGAAAGGGATCTGTACCTCCAGTTGAAAATTTTAGTGGTCTGCAAATGAAAGAAGATTGAAAACCACTGCTCTAGTGGTAAGTTACAGTTGTGCAGGTAGGGAACAGTCAGCGAAGGGTTTTAGCCTTAAGATGTGTCTGCTCCAGACTTGAGCTAACACGAACACCGAACAACAATTTGATCAGCTCAAAGTGGAACATGTAACGAGGCCCTAAGCCACAGATATTTGGTGTAGCTGGTGCTTACACAGGTATATACTAATATAGAGTGGGCAGGTTCTCCATCACCTTGGAGAGGGATGTGGAAAGGCTGAGCATAAACAGTTTGGGCTGGAGCATGATAAGAAACATCACCATGAAATATGCTTCACCCACAGGCTCTCACTTTGTGCATGCTGCATGCCAAAGAAATGTTGTGTAACTGCTATTGGAGCAATGCTGGGTCCACTCAATGTGGCAAACCCAATATGGAGAGCTAGAAAGCAGGACTGGGCACATGCCAAAAACATAAGAATGTAAGAAATGCCACGGAGGGTCAAACCACAGATCCATGTAGCCCAGTATATTGTCTCTTTAGTGGTAGAGTGTGGATGCAAAGGGATGGGTTCTTAAGCAGGGTATATGCAGAAATATTAATCTCCCTTGAACTTCCAGCATTCGGAGACCTAGGAAGTCCTAAATTTGAAGCTCCACCGTATTAATTACTACATTGAATACCCACTAATATACCTGTTCCCCATGAATGTGTCCAGTCCCCTTTTGAACCCAGTTATCAGGCTTCACATGTGACCTTATTTTTGCACGTGGTACAGACAGAGTAGGAGAGAATGTGTGAGACTTGTGTCCAGGGCAATGCTCCGTTGCAGTGTGAGACTTGATGTGGACATGCCCTTTCTGTCCTTGTGCTTGGTACTCAAGCACCACCCCCCGTAGTGCCCCAGAGGAATGCTAGCCTCTCCAAAGAGGATCAAAACCATGTCCCAGCATGCTGCTTACCATCCTGCAGGGTAGCGCAGCTCCCACAGGTGTGAATTTAAATATCTCCGTGAGCTTTTGCTGAGGCATATGGCTCCACCCATCACAGCTCACTGTACAATAAAGAAGCCCTTAACTAACAACATGGTTTCACTGAGTGCTGAAAATCAAATGTGATCATTAACTTGACTTAGTAGCATCCTTCCTTCAGCACCAAGGTTTATTATGATTTCATGAACTTTGGCTCATGATTAGAAAGCAATTACTGGATTTGATAATGTGATGTGTTGGATGCCTTCAGCTTTCCCTAAATTTACCATCTTGCAGGACAGGGCTTAGCATTCAGTGCAAAGGGGATTTGTGTTCCCAAGTTCTGAACATACAGCAATAAGATCTCAGTCTCAAATTTAATCTTTCCACTAGATGTGGTCTGAACAACAACTATCGCCTTACGGTATCTCTTTTAAACACAATTGTTTATTATTCAACAATTTTAATATGGTTATTTTCATGTTATCTCAGCAATAATTAAGCAACACCAAATCAGAAACAGAATTATGAAATGCAGCCAAAAGTAATAACGCCTAATCTGCTTGAATGATTCACTTGCAAATCCATTTTTTAATACAGGAGGTCCAAACCCTGCAAGCTGAAATACATATATGGTTGCAGAGAGATATTTAAGAGCATAGTTTTTGTACTCATGATTACAAATTAAACAACTGTGTAAGCAAATAGCCAATTAGGTGTCTAAATAGCTCTTTACATGTATAATTGCCCAATCTGTACTCACCACTATGATCACAGATTTGGAAGGTAC